GGGGCCTCCCTGTGGCCGGGCCGCGTCTCGCAGCCCTGCCGCTCCTCTACGGCTCAAACCTCCCAGCCGGAGACTTTGTACCCCGCGTTTCCCAGGCTGGGGAACCTGTGAGCCGCTATTTCTGACTGGAAGCCATGGCCGCGAGATTGTTTAGTTCCTCTGCCAGCACACCCGGGCTTGCCCATGCGCCCTGAGAGGGATATTACAACTACGGCAGGACTGGGCATGGTGCCCCCTTAATGCTGGCAACAGTTCGCCCTAGCCTCCCTGGCAGCTCCCGGCCTAGGAGAAGGGTGTGAGGAAACAGCCCCTTTGGGTGGAGAGGTGAGGCAAGAGCGGGCTCTGCCTCAGTGGCACAAAGCGAGGTGCCATTAGGTGCCCCTGCTGCAGGCACCACACACTTACGTCCGCGTCTTCGTGCTTGTTGACACCGTGGAAGTAGAAGGGCCTGCCATTGATGAGGAACTGCGTGCTGGTGATGTGGACGGTGCGGATACCGACCGGGAGCGTGTACACGTCCTCCAGCAAGGCCCCGTTCGCCTGTGCCTGCATTTTCACCTGGATTTCCAAGGGGGAGACGCAAGTGACGTGCTTGGGCTTCACAAGGATGCCCTGTCCTCCCTTCCCCTTGTCTGTAAGGGCTATCCTGACCTCCCGTCCATTCCCCAGCCCTGCTTCATCCGCCTCTTGTGGTTCCCATGTGCCTCCTCAGGGAAGGACCAAGGTCTGACTAAGCAGAAAATAGAAATCCAAGCTGGGGAAGCTGAAGGATGAAGAATGAACCCTGGATGACCCTTCTGGGGCTTGTTTACCCCAAGAGCTTCAGTTTCATTTCCCCTTACTCATCCAGGCCATTTCATTCCCCCAGGCAAGGCAGTGGTATACGTCTTCTGCTCTGTACCTTGATATCAGGCAACGACTGAAATGTCATCTGCTCACGAGAGCTACAAAGCTGAGCCCCTGGAAACTCACAGCAGCTCATCTGCCCTAATTTCTGCATCTAAATGTCACTACTCATCCTTAACTCACAGAGTCTTCCAGGCTCATGCTATTGATGCTGAACTCGTCTGGCAGAGTGGGAAGAAAGCTCATTGCATGGCAAAGCATGTGGAAGTGGTTAGCAGCCTGCTCCTCAGAGACTCTGCTTTTGCGATATCTCCCTCCCTGTATTGTCTCAAACGGTCCTTTTGCAAGGGATGGATTGGGCCCTAAATGTGAAGGACAAACATCTGAGAGTACATGCGTGCACTCTAGGCATGCCCCCCTCTTCTCACTGACAGACCTTTCAGTTCAGCATCCAGGAAGCTGGCAAAGCTTGATTTGATTACTGTATAATTAGCAATGCCACTCCGGTCACGTGAACAGGATCCGTGGGAGAAGATGAGTATGGAAGATGGGCCATATGGCAGTTCCTTAACCCTGTTAGACAGTCAGAGGAAACGCACACAGAAAGGAAGAAATGTCACTGTTACCTCTAAGGAGTAGCGGTATCCGGGGTTCTCATGCATCAGGTAAGGCCACCAAAGATTTGGGTTCAGGACTTTTAGCTCTCCAGCTGGCCCATCGCCTGTAGCAACCACTTTCCCTTCTTGGTCACGTAAACTCAGGGACAAGGAATAGAGTGTGCTGCCAACAACTGACACCTGATATTGCACCATTGCTGGTTCAAAGGAAACAAAAGACAATCGGAGACTGCCATGAAAGGAAAAATACATGCATCAAATGTTGGAGGGTGTTCACATACAGCAGCATTAAAAAATGAGGGAGATGTAGAACAACAACAGAGTGGCATGAATTGAATGTAAGAAGCATGACCTGTCTGTCTTGAGGTCCAGAAGTTTCCAGCAGGATTTGTGTATCATACAGCTCTGTTAGAGAGAATCCTGCTTTAGGTGGGAGGCATACCGCCCCTACTGAGAAATTCTACTTTGAAACATCTGATCATCCTTTGAGTTTAACAGCAGTCTCTTGCAAGCACTTCTTTTTTCTTATTGCTTCTGAACTCTTTATCATACTCTTGCAACTGCTGAGCTGTGCAATAGACCAGCTCAGGTTCCAGAAAAAGCCACTACGAAACAAATTCAATCAGACCTCTGCAGGATATTTTCTCTGCTGCCCTTGTCATCTCCATTTGGAGCCTGAGGTAGCTGCTGTAATTGTTCTGGACCTACCAATGCTCTCTGATGAAGTAGTTGTCACAGTAATATCATCTATGTAGATAGAAGGAGTAGTGTAAAGCACAACCGGGCGATGGATTCCAGCATAGTTAAAGAAATCAAACCTGATGTTCTGTACAAAATAGTTCTTGGGATACCTGAGTGAGCAAGACAGGAGAAATGGCTACATTATGTTTCATTACACAAGAACTGAAGGCAGCATATGGATGCTAGCAATGTAAAATAGTCATGTAAAAATAGATGCTAGCTGGCAAAATAGTCTTTACAACAGGATGGATCTATCTCTCAGTAGTGCTACTGCTGCTACATTGAAGGGGACTAGCAGTTAACAAACATCTAATGCACGGGATAGGTTTGATCCTTCAGGATAGCTGGTACTTGCAGTTTCCAGCTGAACTCAAGCTTCTCAAATCTGCCACTGATTCAGCTTGGCAAATCACTTAATCTCAGTTCCCTGTGTATAAAACACATGCAATAACTCAGTGCAGATTCCTCACAACACTCAACTCCTCCCTACTCGACTGATGAATTTTGGCATAAATACAGCCCATGCTTTTTTAAGTTGCTTGGAGGGTCTTATGAACCAGCAGCTGAATAAATTCCCATCCTCTCATCCCTGGGATAAGCTCAGCAGCACAGAGCTTTAGCAACTCACCTTGTTTTGTCATTCATGTACTGAATTGACCCTGGAGGCAGAGTATGGGGTGTCAGAGTGTTGTTGAGCGCAACAGTGATGCGGCAGGGGATCCCTGGGCTGCCCTGGATGATGCTGCTTATATCTGCTTCAAAAGGGAGGTGCCCCCCTTCATGCTCCACGACTTGCACTCCATTGACCCACTGCAGGAAAAGACACCTGTGAGCCTAAGAGGCAGGGATATTGGGTTTTTGTGGCAAGCATAGCAGGGAGAAGGAAAGGAGCCCAGCAAAGGGCAGTCGGGATTCCTGGTAACACTGAACCTTGTTCTGGGCTCTTAGTCCTTGAGGGATCAATCTAGCAGCCCTTCCTTTACTGGGAGCTAGGTCTGGGTCACGTACAAGCAAGTGTCACTGAGAGACACTCCTTTGGGCAGATCCTGTAGCAAGGAAATGTTTTAGTTACTAGTCCTGATATTGGAGGATCAGAGAAGAGAGAGTTGGGAAACATGGCCAAGTTCTTGGCTGGAGGAAAACAGCCAAGAGTTAAGAAAATAGCAAACTGATAAAATCTAGGCAGAGACGTGTTTGCTGAAGAAGTCATAGGACAGATTTTAGTGCAGTGTGATTTTGGAAACAGACGGACAATTTCCTGTGCAACGTACCACAATGGAGTAGTAATGGGCACTACCGAAACGGAGCACCACTCTGGTGTTGAGGTCATCCTGAAGCCAGCGGAGAGGAAGCAGCACCTCCTTCTCATACCAAACCCAGCCAATGTAGTTCTCCAAGCTGGGGTCTTGAGTGATATCGTTGAAGCTGGCAGGCACTGGCATGTCAATCACAGGACCAGTCTGGCAGGAATTGCACAGAAAGGGAGGGAATAGATCATTTAAAAAAAGAAATTTTACCATCTTGGCTGTCCAACCTGTACTGCCGGAGGTGTCCCCTTCCACTGACAGCCTTAGAGTCCCTTTGCCAAGTGGAGAAATACTTGGGAAAACCTGTTTAGAAACTGGTGTGGTCTGTCACAGGTCCTATACAAGTCCTCCTTAATGTCAGACCCAGGAACCTGCCTGTTCCTACAGGAAGAAGCTGCTCATATCTTTTTCCCCTCCTGATTTTATTAATGGCTCTGGTATTGCGGACTCAGAAAAGTGAGGGGAAAAAAAATAAATGCCCAGGTCATTGTTTCAGCCTAGGACTTCCCACAAACTGTAGTTTCTCCCGCACAGCTCTAGCTGTTTGGTGAGCAATGCTGGTGGTGTGCTGTCAGTTCACTGGCGTGGGGTGCTGCTTGTCAGGCTAAGAGCTGTAGTAGAAGGGTGGCAAGAGTCACGGATATTTTGGGCCAGATCCCCCAGGGAAGGTCTGTGAAGACTGTTTGGGATGAGTCCAGCCTTTCTCACTCCCTGAAAGCAACATAGATTCCTGAGGATTACAATAGAGTCAATTCACTTGCTTATTTTTAATATAAGGATTATAGGCAGGCAGTGTCATAATACATTTAACACTGAGGTAACCGGATGCTATTGCAAAATAGAGCTGTTCATTTTTAGCACCTGCTGTGCTCATGATGTTGCATAAACGAGTGCTGCAGCAGCTTCCCCTTTCCTACAGAAGCCTTTCCATGGAGAGCGGAATGAGGAAGGTCTGGTCACCCAGGGGTGAGCATCATGTGTGCGGCTGACTCAGCACTGAACTGTATCGGCACTGCAGAGAAACTCAATGCCCTTATTAGACATCAGAAAATCCTAGCAGGAAAATCCTTGGATGGTGAAGTGGATCTTCTAGTATCTGATACAGGATAACCTTTGACTGGGATGGCCATAATGTGTGTCTCCTTCAGGGAGGTTCTCTGATGTCTAAACTAAGTTGAGTGTACACGTCTAAGCCTCCTTTGGGAGGGGGGGGCATAGTCCAGGATTCCTCCCCTCTGGCTGTCTCTTTTTGCAAAACTTCTAGCGGCATAGTGTCTTTCAGCTCTTCTCGCCTTCCACAATTTGGCAAAAAAATGGCCAAAGGGCTAAAATAGAAATGATGAAGGACACATACATTTCATGCATAGAATACATAACTCCTTTCTTTAAGGTAATGGTGTTAATTTCATAATGGATTTCAGTTACACTAGAACTTGTTTATCTGCACTCGGCTGCTTTGGAATAAATAATTCAAGAGTGCCCTTTCCAGGCATGTTTTTATTTATTCTATGCTGCTGACAATAGGTAAATGTCGTGCAAGGCCAGCCCTGCTTTTGCAGCACAGGGATTTCCATGGCAGCTAAAGGTGGCCATAGTTCATTCAAATGCTTTCTGGCTTCTGAGCAGAAGGGGGATAATCAGACACCGCTGTTTCGTCGGTCGGTAATTAGATAAGCCTCTTAAGAAAAACCTGCATAGCGGTAAGACACTTAGCGGGGGCCAAAGAGCAGCCGCTCCGCAAGCCTGATGGGGAAGGAAGGGGGAAACGGTCCTCTCGGGAGAGGAAGGAAACCCATGTTGCAGGGGGACCCTTCCCGGGAGGAGAGCACGCCCCTGCCGCACCGCCCTGCCCCGGGGAAGGGGCAGCCCCTGCCCGCGCCCCACTCCCGGCCCCGCGGTACCTGCCGGAGCGGCTGCCGGCAGCCGGGCCGGACGAAAAA